ATTTTACAGGAAAGGAAGAAACTTCGTATAGCCATTTTCTTCAAGTATTTCACAAAACTTTGAATACAACATTTTGCGTGTTTAAACCAAAGCGAAACTCCACACGAATCAGAAGGATTCGATCTTTATTAAAAGATTTCGAATTATTTTGGCTTTATCGGATTTTGGGTGCCTCTTTTGGACTAAGAATACATTAAATACTAACGAAAAAATAAAACAAGTGCCTTATTCCTTTTCGAAACGATGCATTTTTAATTTCTCTTGCTCCCTATATCAAATGAAAAGAGTTTTCATAAAAAGTGGACCTAGCAACTTTTCACTCTAAACGATATGTATATATGTATACATTTTTACCTAGCTTTACATTCGGTTTACTTATTTTTTTATTTACACATTTTAACTCAACACTAAGTATCAGCCGATGTGTATGTGAGTAAGGTACCATTGTTCATTTCGATACCAAAAACATTTCTTTTTATTCTCCGCTTACAATTTCCATTTCATTTCATTTATTGCCTTGGTCCAAGATGTGTAAGCAATATTTTGCATTTTAAATCCATTTTGTGTATTTCTTTTTGTTCATATCATATATTTCATATTTGTATTCTTTATTTCTTTGTAATAGTTTTTTAATCAATAATTTGAACTTATACGAGAGGTATTTTTATTTTCCCAAGTTTTCTTATGCTTCATTCGAGTTATCTTTCTTAGCCAATTTTTCCAAACTATTTCATGTGGTCTATGACACAATTAGTAATATTTAATACATTTTAAATCACTGCAAAACGTTTTATACTCATTAGAACAAAAACTTAGGCTCATGGTTCTTTCTGCATAAAAGTATGGTAATAAGACTTGGTTGTACAGTTCTTTGTCTCAGTATTTTCTTTTAAGGAGTGTTTTCGGTCATTTATCGCGACAATATGCATAAATAACAAACTTTCAAAAGAAAACAATGAGTAATACCGTTAACGTGACACTAGAAGATCATCCGTTAATATTTGAGAAATAAAAACTGAACTTTAGATTCAAAGAACAGCATAATTAACTTCATTCAACACTATAACCGAGCGATAATATAAACGCAGAAATAGTCCACCGTATTTGTCTACAAATAACAAACTTAGAGAAAAAACAATCGCATTAGCTTTAAATTTTCATAGCTAGGTATGTGATTGAACAAGATATCATCATAATTTGGTAAAAATTATTCCAAAAAATGGGTGGTCTGAGACTTTTGACTGACTAATTAATACGTTAGCATATTATATTATAATAAGAAATTTATGTAATAATCATAATAAAAATTCAACATACCGATATCTTTGAATGTAGTCAACTGTTGAACCTCTCGAGGTATCTTTGATTGATATTTCTAACACTCACCTCCACGAATTTAAAATCTTTTATATAATATTGACGATAAAACACAAAATCAAAATTTTACACGCTGTAGCTTTCTTCTGATATCAAATTTTCATTTTTATTAATTAGAATTGCAAACTTAAGCAGAAAAAAACATAAAACACTTAAACAGTAGAAAAGAATTTACTATTAATTTTTGTTTATATATTAAATGTGTAACAATTATATTATTGACTATTAGAAATTAAAAATAATACGTTAAGTGTCTATCATGATATACAACGTATGTAGGAATATATTTATATAAAGAAACATTCATGTAACTTAAAATATAAGCTGGTAAATATATAAAATTTTTCGTTTGCGTTAATTTATGTATTTATGAATAAGAAAACCGAGTAATTTTAATCGTACATACAATTTATCCTCGATATTCTATATATTTTTTTATTTAATTAATAAAAACAAGCAGGAAATAATATAATTTATATATTATTTTATACATATATATGCTAACAATCATTACATCAGCTTCATTACCTTTTTGATTAGCATTAGAAATCATAAAATCAACCACTAACCACCTTAACAATCAAACTTTTATTTGCGATTATCGTAGTTTGTTTTTTATCATATTTTATATGTTTTAAGTATGTATGTACATATGTACATATTTTAAACCTTGTGTAGCTACATAGAATTAATAGATTTTATTTTTAAATATTTCCAATATTGTGTGAGCGAAAAGGTACGTGCGTTTATTGAACTCATATTAAACAATTAAAATATCCGTCTTTAAAAAAGGTAATGAAACATATATGTATGAACATGCCTTGCATATACATATGTATTTAATTTATAAGAGTAATACAGCTTAGCTATTAAACAAATAAAGTTGAGTGTTAAAATAAACTAACTTTTGGTATATATTAAAATATCATGTTTTTAACAATCATATAATATGTTCATATAATAATTAATCTGCAAAACAGGTTTATAGCTTAAAACAGGTTTGCAAAAGAAAGAAATAATTGAAATATATTTAGACTCTAGTTCTTTATGCCCTTGAACAAGTAAACAAATATTGTTTAGGTCTATTCTGATAGTAAGAATTGGGAATGGAAAAGTGAATTACTAAAAATTGTATCCACTTCTAATGACAGCCGGATTCCCAAGACAGTCGAGTCTACGTAACCGGAGTGACCCAGATCTATACCTTATAATGAGCTCGAGGCCATCCTTAAATGAAAAATTTATTGTGGAAAAGCATCAACAACCAAGCAATTATAAAGAAGCTTGATAGGCAATGCCGAAATTTTATTTTTTGACACATGTTTATGATGAGCTAATGGCATGTAAAGCAGAGTCCGACCGATTAATCGGCATCGGCCGTTTTTGGCCGATTCTTAGCCGATTCTTTTTACTTTTCCCGCACTTCATTCCCTATTATTTTGTTTTTACGTTTTTAATTCCTTTTAAGTTTAAAATATTAATGCATCTGAGATCCCTTCAAAAAAAAAAAAAAATGCCAAAAATCAATGATAAGCCCTAGCAACTTAAAATTTGCACTTCGTTAAAATAAAATTGAATGGGCTACAAATCTGCATACTCAGAATATTTAAAGAGAAAGTTTAGAACATGGTTTTTGTTAGATAACGTGCTACACTTTCGTAAAAAATAATAAACATTAAATAAAGAGAAATAGTCAAAGAATGCTAAAATATCATGACTGTATATATTGTGACGATCATCCTTGAATTGATTGCTGAATTCCTCAATCCTTCGGGTTCTTCTCACTGTATTGTTAAATTGTTTACGTTACAAAAATACTTTCGTCATTATTTTAAAATCTACGGTTACTGTTTATTAACAAATTGTATTCAATACAACACATTTATAATCAGCAGAAGCTGCATATTTTTACTGCTATGAGTACAACCAGGAAATGTAGTTTCGAATGAACTATTTATTTTACATTGAATAAGAAAAAGACTATGGATCAAAGTATTGCAATGATGCGTATGCATAAGCGATATACTACTTTTAATACATATTTATGTATGTAAATAAATAAGTGAATAGATTCTTGAATGGTTATTTGTTTTGTAATGTTATTTAGTTATTTGTTTATTTTTTCTTTTGTTATTATAAAAGTTTATCAATATCATTTGTTCTTGAAGGAATTTATATTCAGGTAGTTTTTTTTAAGAAATCGGCATCGGCAAATTCGTTGCCCTCCGGCACCTTTGGGAATCGGTCGGACTCTAATGTAAAGGCAAAATATGTATATCACAATGGCAGTTTCGTTTGCATAAAAAAATCGTTAAAGGTGCTAGGGACTTAATTTTTTGGTAACGAAATTGCAGAATAGACCTATAAAAGCAAAATAAGAAAAGATTCTATTGACAATATTCAAAGTCGGCCAAACGCTATGTACTCAAATATAAAATTAAGTTTCAAAAGGAACATACTCAAACAGTATAGATATATCCAAATTTAATTTACACATATTTATACGCGTTTAAAAATTGTATACTTTTAGTGAGACAGCTATAAACCAAGAAATAAATTGTGTATAATTATTTAAGGTTTCATAGACTTAGACGAATAGTGGAAAACATGTTGTTTTTTAACTTTTTGCAATGTTTAATTCATTATGCGTTTTATTTCTCAGTGTGCAAAAATTTAAAATAAATACATATGTATACTCGAATTTTGAACAACAAGTAAACTAAATAACAGTTGTAGAAACCCCAATTAAATCATGCAATATGACGTTATTTTTTTAAACGCTTTCTTTTTCCTATAAATTTTTTTTGGCTACGTTTCTGTCTCCTTCACCTCAACTTCATTCGTCCTATATTATATATTGTATAAGGTAAATACCTTTAACATTATTTTGCTTACGTTTCCGATTCTATAGCATTTTTTCTATTTATTTTATCACTGTTTTCTTTGTTTGAAACTTCTAGCTAGTCAAATAATTTGTAGCAAAGATGAGTTATTTAAGATTCATTGTATTATTATATTTCATAATATAAATCTGAAGTGTTCTTGGAAAACTTAATTTGGTTAGTCATTAACTATCTTCATTTTAATTTAATAAAAAAATCGTGTACCACTCATATTTGACTTGCTTAATCGTTTACTTTAAATTTTGATGCTCTATAATTTTTAATATGTATTTCAAATTCATCATCAAGTTTCCGTTGAAAATTTTTTTATATGCGTTTAAAAATTGAGAAAATATTTCAATATTCTGTTATGGTTAAATATTTAACATTTTATAGTAAAAAAATTAACATTTTACACATGTATGTATGTATCTTCTATACATACATACATATATACACTAAATATGTATATATTAATTCCCTTACGTACGTTTACAAAATAATTAATGTCGCTTTGCCCATTAAAAACTTTTAAATGTTTCATCTTTCTACTTATATAGCCAAATTATACTTTAGAAAACTGTTTTTAAATATCTTTTTATCGTGTGCACATTGGACTTCACTCTGAAGTGGTCTTGAGGCTCCACTCACAGCTTATTTACTACCGATTCTGAAACTATTTCACTTTAACTTCGCATTATTCTATCTTGTCATCCCAGCTATTAAACGGTTCTTTCTTAGGTTCCGTTACAATCCAACCGATATTAACTTATTTTCACTTGCCTGTAATTATATTTATTTATATTTATGTTTGCATGTAACGAATTCTTCAGCTTTTTAATAAGTTTAATTGTAATTGTTCTTAGTAATATTTTTACCATTATTTTTTAATTTCTTTACAGAAATGCTTTAAACATCATGTATCTTATGTATATCTAAAAGAGTTGTATCTCTGTTTTTGTTTAACGTTTAGATCGCTTATTGTTGTTGTCGAAAACTAATTTTGCATGAATTATTTTATAGATGTCAGTTATGATTTTAATTTATAATAATATGTCTACGTAAATAAATGCTAAGGTTGTATTGCACCTCCGTACGTTTGTTATTCCTTGTTTATTTTTTTGTATGTTTCTAATTTGCTTCGATCATAAATAAAAAGAAGTTATACCAAAATATAATTTTGAGGCTTTTAACGTAATAAACTTTCTAGACAGTCAATCTGGTACTTGGGGTCGAAATGCCGTTTATATAAAGGTGCCCACACTCACCGACGTGTACGTATGCTGTGGCTGTTCGACGTAGCAACATATAATAGTGACACGATCAAACTTATGAGAGCGCCATGTAAATGAAAACTCACCACCCTGTACGTGCGACGTTAACGCTTGCTTCTCTCTCTCTATCAACAGTAAATTTTATATGATGCTACGTCAAACAGACACGGCATACGTACACGTCGGTGAGTATGGGCACCTTAACTGACGGGTTGTTTCTCATATTATCATATTGTTCATCATATCAAGATGTAAGAGAAAGAAATTATCTATTGCTGTAGGAAGTATTACGCTGCGACTAATCAGTTTCCCGTAATTCTTGTTGTATTAAATAATTAATTTTTGAAGTAAAACTGCTTTCGCTGCATGAAAGTAATTTTTCAAGGTCCCGGCACATCACTTTTGTGTCAAGAAAGAGATAAAATATTCCAAAAGAATTAGATAAAAATCAAAGAGAATCAAGAATAACACAGAGCAGAAGCGAAAAATGAGTACATACATACACACATGCACATGCCCATAAATATGTATATAATCACCATAGGTATTAATTAATTAAAAATATTTCATATCAACTTGAGATAAGGACATTTCGTTATATTATTCAGCATAACTTTCTGATCAAAACGGCATATCATTCATCCGTCAGGGAATTATTTCAGCGCAGACCTAAACATTGTGCCAGATTGACCGGGCTATTTTTTCGTTTAATATTACGTTACCAGTTTAATTTCTGCCCATTTTGCAGTTTATTTTTAATTTTTTGCTGTTGTTTTGATATTTGCGGTCGCTATTTAACTGTGTAGAATTCCACACTTTTTATGGTCACCTCGCAACGCTGCTGCTGAAGAAATCTTCTGTAAAAAGTAATAATAATGCAATATTAAAAATATGGCGAGTTTTTTACTTAATATAACATGGAACTTAATCACAGTTAGGCGTGTATCTGCACATTAGGGTGATCCTTAAATGTAGGAAGCAAGTTTTTACATCAGATTTCTCAACCCATACGTCAATACTACTATAGTCGAAAAATATCACATATAAATTTTGGTCCCGATTGGAGACGGTTAAGTCGCGTCGCACAGGGGCAAAGTTCAGATTACCCTATGAAGACGTCTTAAAAGAAAAAAAAAATATTTTTAATTTTTTCAGTCTTCATAGAGCATATGGCCTTGGACTCCATTGCGACACGCCTTACCCGACTCCAATCGGGACCAAAATTTATATGTGATATCTTCGACTGCGGTAGTATCGATCTTGGGTATGAGTTGGCAAAAAAATTAGTTTAAATTTTTCGAGTCTCTATAGAGGAATCTGAACTTTGGCCCCTGTGCGACACGCCTTAACCGTCTTTCAATAGGGGCAAAAATTTGTCTCCTTAAATTTCGAAATATTAAAGTTTCAAGCATTTCTGAAATTTACCGTTATATGAAAAGCGCCGTAATTTTAGTCCGATTTCGATAATTTTCTACGTTTTGCTTTTATATGGCAAGCACAATAACCGTAGAACGGTTACCGAGATACATATATGTGATCATAAGTGGGCGGTGCCACGCCTATTTTCCAAAATTTTATTATAGACGTATTTTGTGCTAAAGAGTTATTGCAAACCTCAATTTTGAATTAATTAGCTTCGGTATTTAGTGATTTATCGAAAATTTCGTATTTCTCTAAATTACCGTTATATGGGACGTGGGCGTGGTTATTGTACGTTTTTAAAAATTTTTAGCTATTTGGTATGTTGTACCAATACCAACAACAGTGCCAAGTTTGGGAGAAATTGGTGGAGCGGTACCCAAGATATACACGTGAAATCATAAGTGGGCGTGACTACGCCCATTTTCCAAAAAAAAATATAATATTCTTATGCATATCGCCTAAAAATGATTGTGAATATCAATTTTGAGTGAATAAGTTTCAGTAGTTACTAAAATATCACAGTTTTCGTATTTCTGAAAACTACCGTTATATGGGAGGTAGGCGTGGTTATTGTCCGATTTTGCCCATTTTCAATACCATCCCTCCTACGCCGAAAATAAGTAAACATACCAAGTTTCGTTTAGATATCTCATTTTTACTCGAGTTATCGTGTGCACAGAGGGACGGACAGACAGACAGTCACCGCTTAATCGATTTATTTTTTTGTTCTGATCATTTATGTATACATTTGTCTATATCTATCTCGATTAATTTTGCCTGTTACAAACAACCGTTATGTGAAGAAAGTTATAATACCCTTGAGCACAAGTATAAAAATATAAATTTTGCGCTATTTAAGAAATTTTTGCTGAATGCCTTTGCAAATATAGTACGTTAAATAAAACCCAAAGAACAGCCGAAAATAAGAGGCCGAATGTAGTAATTTATGAGGCCGATAAGAGTCTCAAAAAGAGTCCGGAATGGTTCATATGTGAGGCAAAAAACTGTTTTAAAAGAGTCCAAAATGAGCCGTATATGATGCCAATAAGAGTCCAATATGACTCAAATTGAGGCTCATTTGATGTATGAAATTAAGCTCATATAAGTCGACCTTCGGAGGCACGGAAACACCCTCATATCGGACTCTTATATGAGCGTAAAGGCTCCGAAATAGAACTCCTTAAAAAATACTCATTTATGACTCCAAATGTGTGCTGGGTTGAGACTGAAAAGGCTCCGTTATGCATACTTGGCATTGCTTGAGAGTTGTCACATAAGGAATCTGTTAAATGAGCTTCGCGTGTAAGCGGTTACCCAACGCACAGCATTACATACGTAAAAGTCTGTTGGTTTTTGATTTCTACGTAAAAATGGTATAGCAGTGCATGCAATGCCAAGTATGCATAACAGAGCCTAAAGGCGAAATTCTATAAGGTGGTGTTGTTACTGATTCAGTCGATTTCCAGGCAAATTTGTACCGTTTGTCAAAATGGTGTGTTTGTTGTAATTTTGTTTTGTACTGATTGCCAATGTGCGTATAATTTGTTTGTGTAGTTTTTGTTTTTCGGCTGGCGCTACCACCTTGTATAAATTCGCTTAGGTATGTGTGAGATTGAAAATTGGAAAACACTTTTGTTATGTTAGCAATCTTCAAAAATGTCCAGGCTGCCTTTTGTATCATGTTGCCATATCCAAAATGTATTCAACAAAGTGTGATTGGCTTTCACAAGAACCATCCTATAAAGTCAAATTGAAAAATCTTTTTATGAATTTTGAATTGCATGTTTATATTTTTTGGCATAATAGTACCTTAAAAGAGAGCCCACCTGAGTTGTCAATCACACCATGTTTGATACACCTTGGCCATACCATGATTCAATAATTAAAGGTTAGATAATTATTCACAGCCGCGGTTTGACACTCCCTTATAAAAGGTTGCATTTACGAAGGACAGAGAAATGCGAAGAATAAAATCCCTTGGTTCGAAAATGGTAGTAGAAAAGTACGCAAAGCAGGCACTTAGTAGTGAAATTCCTTTTGGCCCTTATTGCGAGTGTCGACTGGCAGTAGAATACAAATTTGTCGATCAAGTCGATTATCTTTTACTTTGCTATTGTGAAACTTGATCGATATAAATTTCTACTAATGTGAATGATTGACTGAATTGTAAGCAGCCGTTCGTTTGTTTGCATTTGTTTCTTTAGTGTTTAATTTACATCATTTTTAAAATAATTGCTTTTATCATAAAATTAAAAAAATGGATAGAGTTGAAGTATGGTTTAAAGAATTAAACTTTATTTTCAAATAAAGATTTAAAATTTCCGAGCACTACTTAATTAATAAATTATGCAGGTTTTTGGAAACTTTGATGTTAGTTCTGCGCTAAACCACTGTGGATAGCGTAGCCAGAGTTAAATGCACAAGAAATGTTGTATATCTCTCACAATAAAAGCGGAGCTTCCGCCCCTACTCTTTCCGCAAATTCCCTTGCCTATGTCCTCATTCTCCAACATCAGCTCGACCAACCGCGCAAGTTGCCTTTTGTTGCTTACAATTTTTGATCTGTAATTCAGACACATACCCCCCTATTATGAATTTTCATACGATAAACGCTTCCAAGCGTAACATTTTTGTTAGGTATGTTTTCATTAGGTATGTTGTAATGGCCCAGAGTGCAATAATTTGGCAAATGGAAGATGAAATAGGAAGTTACAGATTGACTTTACCAAATTTTGCCTACACATTCAGGTAACATCAAGGTGAATACTAAAGGACTGCAAATGTTGAACTACAAAACATAGTGACATCGTGCAAGTGCCACTTCCATGATAAAAATTAAATTGTTTGGAAACGTCAAGAATTTTAAAAGTGACTCTCAGCGGTTCTACCTTACTATATTTTNATTCTTGACGTTTCCAAACAATTTAATTTTTAAATTTACTCACAAACTCACACACACATTTTCATTTTCAATCTCAAGCAACAACAATTTCGAACAATTTCAATTTTTTATTTTCACTTTTATATGATTTTAAAATGTTGGCAAACTTCAAAAAAAAAATCATGGCCGACAAATTGAGAGAACGGTTATACCTTGCTATGTTTTTATCATGATTTTTATCATGGCCACTTCATAGAATGTAGCTCATACATGTTTGACAATGACATATGAAGACACTGTCGAATAAATTGAAATCAAACATGCATAAAATCTTTGCATGTCAACACAAGCGACAAGTCCGACACATACGATATAGTCAGCATTATTATTTGCATTGTATATACGGGAAGAGATTTTGCAAATTTCGAAACTCCTATAACAGTAAAATTCATCAAGCAATTGTCTAACTAAAAATCTATATCATCGATGTTTTTACAAAACCGCCCATCAAACAAATGCAAAAACGCCTAAAGCGCCGTTGTGGCAAAAAACAGACTTGTCAACCCCGAACTCTAGGCATCGAGGTTTATGCATAAAAATCGTAAGATCGTTATTAAAACAACAGATTTGTAAAATAATAGCTAGAGAAAATACCGCCTATCAAGGCAAACCGTTTTTTCGCTCTTCTGTAAAATTTGAGTGCCGTAAGATAGGCGGTTTTGCAAAAACATTGATGATATACATATATTTTCAGACAAGACAGTATCACACAGTATTAAAAATATGCTGCAGAAACACAACAGCTTAGCAAGGACATGCTAAAACAGTATGTTTGAGATGGAATGACATGGTATAACACCTTGTTTGAGTTGACCATAGCATGAACATTTTTACAGAAAATGTTGAGTTTTGCAGTACATATGTTAGTACATACATACATACTTTGTATGGCAGATGAAAACACGAAAGCTTTAATAGACGAATATATGCCAATGAGATTTAAATTATTAAAATATTACATTCGTTCTTCTTTTAGGTATGTACTTACGTGTATCGAAGCTGAAATTCATTGTTGGGTCTGGTGGCGTATTGAGCAATGAATTCTGGCTAGTGCCACCGCCACTTCCTGCTCCAAGTGAAACAGGTTGCTGTTGTGGTTGTTGCTGCTGTTGTTGCAAATTAATGGAATTGGTAATATTTATGCCATTAGCACCACCGCTGCTAATTGGTCCCTGTTGTGCATTGCCTATCGGGCTTTGAGGCGTGGTACTAATACGCAATCCGCTGGGACCAACAGAATTACCGCCGCCGCCGCCACCACCTGGCACTCCATTCCCGCCGGCAGACGCCCCGGTGCCTCCCGCTGCAGCAGCCTGTTGTTGAGCGCGAACACTCACCACAGCGCGTAATTCTTGCTTAACGAACTCAGAAGAATTGGAGGCGTTACCAGCTAAAAAAAAAAAGTTAATATTTTTTTATAACTCATAATATACGGTAACATAATGAACTTATAACTCGTTCATTTTAAAAGTGGCATAAGTTATTTCATGCTGCTTGACTTCATTTGCGTGTATCTGTACTAGAGTTGCTCACGTGTCGTGATGTTTGTAGTGACAATGCACGATTCACGCGTGATAATGCATAAGCGTGAGAACATTTTACAAACTCATGCACGCGGTCAAATCACACAATCTCGCTTTGTCACGCATGTGGATAAATTTTAATCAAATAGCAGCAATTTGCACTCACATATTAGAATTATTATTTAGAAAAATTTTAAGTTTCCAGTTAAGTTTCCATTTCATTGTGACCATCGGCGTAGCCAGAATGAAAGGGGGGGTTGTCGCCCCTAATAAGCTGGCATTTCATGGTACTATTTTATATATATATATTTTTTTTTTGGATTTGAGTAGTGTTGGCAGGAAGCTGAGTTCCCCAAACGCCAGGTTATTCCTCTGATTTTATATTTGATCTCTTTGAGCTACACGATCGCGTAGCTGTAAAAACTGGAACGCAACTATCGAAGGCGCCTCGATTTGTGCAGATTGATGTTTTCCGATCGTATGGTCGCACTAATTGACTTAGTGTGTTTTCGGTTTAGTTTATGGCGCGCGATTGAATAATACTTTTACAGTATTGCGATGATTTTGTTTTTCCAGGAAAGGAACGAGGTGGGCGGTATTGCACCGCGGATAAACTTTGTTTTTAAATATATTTCTCTTTTATTATTTAATTTTTAAATTTAGAATTTTTGCTTCCGCTTTTTTCAGAAAGTTTGATAGTTGAGTGATTTTGCTATAATCCCAACTGTGAAGTATATCAAAGAAATTTGTGTCTCGTCTGAATAGTGTGAAGCCCTCCCGAACATGCCTAAGGAGTGGACATTGAAATGTTTGATGAAGGTAACTGTCCTGAAGTCCACATCCGTAGATATTGGAGTTCAGAACCTTGATCCTACACAGGTATTCCCTGTCGTATGTGTATCCAGTCAATATTCTATTTAACGTTTTTGTTTCTCTAGGTTCAAGTATTTTGGTATAAAACCACGGTCTTTTCGGTTTAGAGGGGAAGATCTGTGCAAGGAGATTGGGTTTGTTCGCAGAAAACGCAAGGAAGCCGTCATACCAGTCCTTTTCAATTTCATTCCGTATCTTATTAAGTGCTTCGTCTTTAGTCGTCGTTTTTAGTTTAAAATTTAGTACATTATTTGAGTTAACAGCATTTTTGGCTACCTGGTCAGCTCTCTCATTTCCTGCAATTCCCTTATGGCTGGGTGTCCAGACTATTGCTACCCTGTCAAAGTCTGCCTCCCTTATTATGTTGTGAATCTTTGCAATTATATGGTTCTGGATGGATTGTTTTTTTAATAGTTGGCAGGCTATCAGGCTGTCCGAGAAGATTGCAATCTTGGCATATCCTAATTCTTTGGCTAGTTCTAAGGCCTTCATTCAATATGGCTATGGTTTCCCCAAAGCTGGAAGAAGCCCTGAACTCAAGTTTAAAGTCATGCTCCGTATTGTCCTGAGGATTGAAGATTGCAATCCCTGTTGTGCTGGTGCCCACGGAAGCGTCCGTGAAAAGAACTCGAAAGTTTGAGTTTTTGTACTCGTGTAACAGTTGGTGGTACCTCACCTGAATGGTTTCGTCCGGGAGATTTGACTTCTTGTCGCTTAAGGTCTTCGTGATTATGTTTATGTTGCTGGTCCGTATCATGGTGTCATTTATGTCAAGTTCGTCGAAAATGTGTCTGAACTGGTTGAAAATCAAACTGTAGCTAGAGTTTACACATGGCTTATTATAAAGCTGATCCCTAAGGGATTCATCCGTCACAATGTTGTTCATAATTTCTTTCGCAGTGAGCCATGTTGCTCTTTCACTGGGTGGGAGTTCATTGGCTAAGGCGTATATTAGGGGGATGGGGGTAGCTGGGGTTAGCCCCAGACTTCTCCTGATGAAGCTGTTCTGGTAGGTCTGAATTTTTTTGTTAACGGTCTTTGAGCAGTTATTCATTGCAGTGCGGCTGAATTCGATTTTACTTCTAACTATTGCTTTATAGTAATTTAGAGAAACTTTAGGATGTAGCCCTGCTGTAACAGTCGTAATGCATTTGAACAAGTTCGAATTTTTGAGAGTAGTGCTCGCTGACAGCTAGTGAGGCGCTTATTCGCGTCCCGAGAAAGTTTATGAACTGTGTTTGCTCCAGAGTCTGATTGTTGCAGGTCAGGTTGAGAGTTGCTTTGCTGCCTTTAGCAATGTGCATCACTTTCGTTTTTTCAAGATTGAGTGTAAGGTTTAAATTCGCACACTTTTCTGCAAATATATTGATTTTGCTCTGTAAATTTTCCAGCGATTGACCCAGGTCTTTATGAGCCGACAAAAGAATGAAATGTCTGCAAATTGGTAGACTTTGGTGGAGGTGTCAACAATATCATGCAACTGTCTGGTGTACAGATTGAACAGTACAGGGGAAAGACTGCTGCCTTGAGGCAAACCATCGCGTATTTCTATAGATTCACTGCCCAGTTGCAATAATCTGTAGGAAAGAAAGTTAGAGATCCATTCAATACACGTGGGGGTGTTTCCACCTCCTCCAAAGCCTCTCTCAGTTTGACCAGACTCGCACAATTCTACGCATTGCTAATGTCGGTTGAAAAAATTGTTACCTTAAGGCCCTCACTTTTCAGAGTTCTAATGTCGTGGAGTAGGTAATTTGTGCACACCGTGGCAGATTTTTTTTTTCTATACGCAAAAGAGTAGCTAGGGAGAATATCAGCCTCCTCCAGCATGTCCGTGAGCCTGTTTTTGATTACCAAATTAATACATTTTAAGAGGACCGACAACAGGGCTATGGGCCGGAAGTTGGTGAAGTCACTTAGGTCTTTTCCTGTTTTTGGTATGGGTACAATTCTGATTTTTCGCCAATTTTCCGGTATCTGATTTGTAAGGAATATGTTGTTAAATGCGGTACGTAAGTTATTTAATGATTGTTCAGGGAGCGCTTTTAACGTGTTGTAGGTAATGCGGTCCACCCCTCCAGCCGACTGTTTTTTATTTTTCAAAACATCTTGAATTTCCTGAAAGGTTATTGCCAGCTCATTTTCCGGTATGATTTCTCTGTTAGGTGCTATGTCATGGTTCGAGATGGGGACTAAGCTTTTTAGATGTTGCAGAAAATTAAGGTTATTGCTATCAGACCATGCAAAGTTGTTCCGGGCTTTGAAATCACCTCTCATTGCCTTCACAAATTTCCAGGCTTGTTTGGTAGTAGGGTCATTGTTCAATTCTTCGACTTTACCTTCAAAGCTTAGTTTTTTTGCTTTTTTGACTTGCTCCTTCCAACGTCTTTTTTTGTTCTAAATACTCCTCAAAGTTTTGCGGTGATGGGTAGTCCTTACATTTTTTAGACGCACATTTTAGTAACCGAAAAGTTTTCGCTAAGGTTTCGTTCCACCAAGCTTTGGGAACTCTGTTTCCCAGAAGGGTGTATGTGGCTGCCTCTAGCTCCTCATTAAGTTTGGACTGAATCTCGGTTCCAGCTCTAGCTGTTGGAGCCCTAATTTAAGTTTGTTTTGTGCTAAAAAGCACTTCTTGTGAATGCTGATTGTGGTGGACTCAATTATGATGGGAAAGTGGTGGCTTCCCCCAATTCTCATTGGGTCTGTTCTCCATGTAAGCGGAACATTACAGTTGGTGAACGACAGGTCTAGAACCGATACATTAGGAGATAAGAAGTTGGCTTTGAAGGTTTGAGAACCATCATTGTGCCCAGAAGTTGTACTCAGAAATTATGTTGAGAAGATTTCTACCCCTACAGGACGTGATTTGGTCCCCCCACACCGTTGCTCTGGCATTAAAGTCACCCACAATTAGTACGTTTTGAAAATTTTCAAGGAAGGTGAACAGTCTAGAGATTTCATTATTAAAAGCTTCAGTGGGAACAGATTGAGGAAAATAAGTTGCGCAAATGACCAGGTTAGGTTTTAAATTTTTTGTTTGACCTACCAGAATATCTAGGTCTGACATAAAAGCCCGTAACCATCACTCCTGTTTTTTTTCTATTATATTAAAATCGATAATATTTCTGTGTTGCTGCTCGTTTGAATGAAAAATCTCACTCAAGCAAGCACCTTCAAAATTGTACGTATTCAAATAGAATTCTATGCTATTTATGTTTGCTTTTAGTGATTGGCAGTTATATTGTAACAGTTTCATTTGTGTCAAAATTCGGATTTGAAGCTCCTCTAATAGCTTTTATATCGTCACTTAAGTTCAAAAGGTTGTATTTTTGTTTCAGGTTATTTAGTTGACTGACAGTCTCTTCTGCCATCTGATCGCTACATAGGTTCTGGACTAACCTGAACAACTGCGACAGGAGTCTTTCCAACTCCGTGACTTTGCCTTTCAGGTATTCGGGCCTGTCTATGACCGCCCCCTCTACACTTTTTTTGGCCTTTCCACTGACCTTTCATCTACCCTATGCACTGTTCGTTTTTCCGTTCTGGGTAAGCGTGCCATCGTATTGTATTTGACTCTAGTTAGCTTTCTGTTAATTTCACTATCCCTATTTTTTGTGACTTTTTCGTCGCTTGATAAGGCCGGGAATACCTCATCGTCGACTGCGAGCAAATTGAAACGATTTTCATTACGGGGGAAGTAGGCTTGTAGGGTCTCCTTCCTCGATAGTTTTTTAACAGCACGTATATAGTTAACCGACTTTTCTTTTTCGCACACCGCACATGCGTGCCTATCGGAAGCTGTGTGGTTCGCGTTCTCACATAAAATACATTTCTTCTTACAGGAGTTAGAATCACAGTTGTCTTGTCCGCACTGAACACACCTTTTTTTTGCTTTGCAGGCATACTGCAAAAAAAAGGCCAAGCCTTCCGCAGTTCAGACACTGCCTTAGAGGGGGTACATAAAAGTCTACGTACAGTTTTGTGTAGTCAAGTACAATATGCTTCGGAATTTCTTTGTTTGCAAAGCCAAATTTCACAGAGGTCGTGGGGACAAAGGTATTGTTTTCAGCCTTGCGCGTAAAGCGCCTTACCCACGAAATAGGGATACTTGAGATAGTGTTGGCTTTTACCCCCGTGGACCCCCGTTCCCCTACCTGGCTACGCCCATCATTGTGACTATTGGGACATTTTACTCCAGAATGTGATCAATTGTGAATTTTAACTATGTCGTCGGAACTTATAAAATAGCGAAAGGTATTAACTAACTAATGTATACAATTCTTTAACAAAGATACCAAACGTTTTCTTAGTTTTATGTTACTATCATTTGAATGAATGTGACTGGTGGGACAATGAAAATAACTCTATTTTAACCTTGTGTACTCAAATATGAATTTCAGCCAAAGCACTTAGTTTTCACTAACTATGTATTTGTGTTGTAAAATATGAACTATATGCTTCCCTTTTCAATAGACATGAGGTTTATATAATATTCATAGAAATATTAAAAATAGACAAAAATTACAACTTCTTTTGATTTTTTTAATATTTTCCCACAGGTTAATGAAATATAGTAATTTGAAAAGAGGTTACTACTGAAATAGAGATAATTAAGGGCATACATATGTAAATTTATGTCGCTTTCCTCTTTTCAATGGAATGACCCAAAGTTACATCTTAAAAGCTCAAAAATGAGACGCTAATTCAAACCGGTTATGCCTAAAGGCGCTAAAATCGAAAAGGTGATATACCTACAGTTTGCACGGACTTCTAACGCTAACTGTATATTTATCAGAAGCTGTTTTACATTGCGGAAATAATCTCGGGGGTTTTCCCTTTCGACGGCGTCCGCTATTAGGAAAAATCTTTTGAAGTTAGTCGTGCCGGGAATCGATTCCAGGCCCTCCCCTATATATTATTACTAAATTTTGCGCCTCAGCGTGTAATTAAGACTCGACAATTTTTTTGTAAATTATATATCGTCTGGTAGGTAAAAAGGCTCAAGTCTCAAGGCTCATTCTTTGACTTTAATAATGTACAATGCACCATTTCTCCTTGAAACCAAAAGAGGTGGATGTGTTCCAACTCCTTCAAAAATTACGTAATGGGTCAGGAATACACCATATATTTCTAATAAGGATAAAGGAAAGAATCATTTTGAAAAGCTCACGTAAACTACTAAGGAACACAAATGGTAGAAAGAAAGTCGAGCACTTTATAGAAAGCATCTCAAAAGGCTGCAATCAAGAGATACAGATGAGTATCTACTTGTAATATTCGGTTTTATCCGAATTTTAGTTATATACTTGTTATTCTCTTTCACCTTCACCATTGTACTTCCAAATGCCAAAGTTGTTATATAAGCAGTACCAAGTAATACTTCTTCTACAATCGTCAAATTGCTAGCACATTACCCGGGTCAGATCATCAGCCGTAATAGACAATCGATTCATTAAGAATCAATCAACATCTTTGACAACTCTCACCACTTGAACGCCATCATCGGAGGCCAACGCCACCTATCGCATACGAAGGGCTCGAGAATGCATTAAGGCAAAAACAGAAATCTACAATCATCTGAATGCCTATTGTGGGTCAGGTCAAAAGTTAGTCGGATAAAAATACCGTGGGTCGTTTAGGGATACGAGCGCAACGAGTAGGAAAGTACTCCAACTACGCAGCGTCTGTGTGGTCGCCGGAGAGTAGTAGGACGCAGTAGATACAACCTCCTGCACCAGCTGGCGTTTATTTCATTTGTCATTAAGTGCTCCCCAATATATAAAGATAATAATCTAACGCCATAAAACTACTCCAAATAGACCCCTAGCTTTCAGGCTATAAGGAAGTTCCTTGCGGTTTTTTTCGGGCTCCGATAAATGCGGCAGTGTTACTTTTTATGAGAGAGCATCATATTCTAAAATTTAGATGAGCTGCCTACATCACGCGTTCTTTAAATAAAATTTTGACAATCTGTTGCTCAGCAATAGCAAACCAAATGCAACATAAAAATTGTTACTGACCAATTGCTGCAGGATTTAAGTATATTTTCAGTAAAGCATCAGAAACAGTTTTCTCCCAAGTTTGTATTGAATGAAAGGCCAGAAAATTTATGTCATCTTCGTCAGATGGATTTCCCGGTTCATACCGAGCGGCATTTTGTTTCGATGATGAGGTGACTCTGCCGTTTTTTGTACTTTCCTTTCTGTGTTAATCCTGGCCATAATTATTCTAAGCTACCAGATCCACAATATAATAATAGATTGGCGCTTACACATATGTTAGTGTTTCGCCAAGCTTCTCCTCCGATTTGGGGCGTGCGCACAAAGAAGAGGGACCTACAGTTTTACGCCGACTCCGAACGGCGATTGTATATATTTGAGAAGCTGTTTTTCATGGCAGAAATACACTCGGAGGTTTTCCATTGCCTGCCGAGGGACGACCGCTGTTAAGAAAAAAACCTTTTTTCTATATTTTTTTCGATGTTGCTTTGACCTGGGTTTGAACCCAGGCGCAGAGGAGTGGAAGCGCGCACTGCTTGCCACTACACCACAGCGGCCGACACACAATATACAATCCACAATATAGTTACTGGTTAATTTATACACATGACTGGGGATTCACAACTAGCTTTATATTTAAAATTTAATAATAAATAACTTTTTAAGAAAACTAAACGTACCAGGTAAATGCTGGGTAGTTTGTGGTACGCTGCTTTGCCGTTGCATGCGTTGGAAAGCTCCGCCACTGGGCCCACCATAAGGCGATTGTGGAGATGGGGAGCCAGCTTCACCACTCTGAAACGAATTTTGTCGCTGAAGACCGATATTGACCCCACTGCTTCCTACTGTGTTCCCAGGAACCCCTCCGCCACTGGGAGAATGGAGGCCACGCCGTTGACTTTGGTATGGGCGCGCCGTATAGGGGCTAACACCCTGCTTTAATAGAAAAAACGACAACATTTTAAAGGATTTACAAGACCTAAATGCATAAGCATATCTACTACGATTTATTTACTTGGAGCTGAGCGCTCAGCATTGGATTATGCTGTTGAAGCGTGTGGCCACGTTGTGTTGTCGCATTCCCACTTATTTGCGGACCTTGAGCACCCACACCATTTGCACCAGGGGTCCACTGTTGTGAAGACGTATTCGGCATTCCACTGGGTGATTGTACGGTACCTCCACCTGGACCAACGCCGAAGGGTGATTGGCGTGGCGAAAGCTGGTTTGTTAAATTGGAACTTGCCGCTTGGGCAACCTGAAAAGCCATCTGCTGATGTTGTTGCACATTCACCTGTTGTTGCTGATGAGGCGATAGTCGTGGCCCACTCTGCGAAAATTGTTGCGCGTAGCCTGTGAAAAATATGTATGTATTTATTAAAGAAATAAAAAAAAGTTTTGGTTCAGATTCTTACCAGCATTTGCTTGGGGGCTGAATGAGGCAGTACGCTGTCCTGGGCTGAGTTGCTGTTGTTGCTGAAGTAAACTCTGCGCGAAACTAGGACTCAGCTGCGAATCAGGTGGCAAGTTGGTGCGAGACAAAGCGACATTTGGTGCCACAGTATTGTTTAACAGCGATCCAATATTGTTAATGCTTGGATTTAGACCTAAGAGGATACATAAGCGGGATAAATTTTAAACGATAGTTGTACATTTACACATACATAACTGGTCTGTTCGCGCGGTCGCACTTTCTGGCACCAAAAGCTGTTGTTTCTGTTGTTGCTGGAGAAGTCTTTCCTTTTGCTGTTGCTGTTGTTGACGGATGCGGTATTGTTGATGCGCTGGCAGAACAGTGCCTCCAGGCGTCGTAACTGCGTTCATAGGACCTCGGTTGCGCGCCGTCGGATACATTGGTGGTGGTCGTTGAAAGCCTTGATTGGGATTGGCTCGTAACATCTCAAGCATTTGTTGAACCTGCGATGGCTGTTGACTCCCACCAAAAGCTCCTTGCTGCCTGTGTAATAATTGCAGTTGCTGTAGCTGTAGTTGATGTTGTTGTTGTTGGGTCAAACCAGCACTAGCTCCGCTACCCATCATACTGCCAGGATAGGCTGGTGGTTGCGATTGCTGTTGATGATGCTGCTGCTGCAGTTGAGATGTTTCCACCATCAATGAGTTCTGTATTGCATTGATTGCCATACGTTCGTTAATCTCCTGTTGCGTCAGTCCGGCCATGGCAGTGGGAGTTGGTGTCGACACAAAGGGGCCATCGTCTGAAACGTAATCCATAACACTGTCTAAAATTTTAGACAGTTCTGAATCGCCATCGGCGCCACTCAACGCCGCCGATTGCGAGTTCGGTTGGGATAACGCTGCAGACGCTGTGACAATGGCCGTGCCTGAGGTAGCTGTGGTGTGGTGTGGAGGTGTTCCGAACGCTTCCGTTGATGAAAAGTTCATCTGCGCCTGAGATTGTTGTGATAGCGGTTGTTGCGGAGTGCGTTGAATTCCGCTTAAACATTGTTGTTGCTGTTGATGCAGCGTGAGGTAGGCTTCGGGAAATTGTTTACGTAAACCAGTTCCCCTTCCACCGCCAATGGTGGTACTGCTGGCACTAGGTGCTGAGGTCGTTGTCATTGAGGCGCTTTTTGATGGCATGCCGCCTAAGTTACTCGGCGCCGAGACGCCAATACCACCGAGAGATGAGCTAACGCGACTTGCTGTGGGAGCAATGTCTGGAATAGTCTTTACCTGAGGGGGCACAGTCACTATAGGATTCTTTGGTGGATTCTCCAGCAGTGAGGCGAGCATTTTATTGTTTTCACGTAGTTTGGACGGCCGATCATTCTCTCGCTTTGCTGATATGCCGTCGTCCGATTCATTTAGCGAACGTTTGCGTGTTGTAGGATCGCCCTGATATTTCAAACTTTTCAGCAAATCTTCCTGCGACATGTCTTTGGAATGATGCGGTCCATGACCATGACTGTGCGATTGGCCATAATGGCAATCGTCTTTTTGTAACTGACGCATCAATTCACTTTGACGACTTTTTCCATCGTCATCTTCTGATTTCTCATTAAGCAGCTGTGTTTAAGATAAATAAGAACAAAACAATTGCTTGAAGTAAAAAAGTAAATATCCTGCATATTTCGTGCAATTACATTTATATGTATGTGTATGTTTTAAGGCAAGTGGATTTTAAGGGATGGTGGGGCCTTACTTACCGACAGTAACATGGGATTGCTGGAGTTTGTAGATTTTGGCATAGCGACACCACCAAAAAGGCGGCCGCTCGTTATACCCGCAGCGCCCATTTTAAACATGCCGGAGGAACCCCTGTTGCTACCGCCGGCGCCGCCACCATCCTTATCATCATCGGAATTCAGTAGACCCTGATTGTAAAACTTTTAAGACACCAAAAAGACGGCATGAAAATGAGCTGATATTTTACGAAAGGCTACTTCCTACGACTTAAGGCATTTTATTATAACTTACCTTATGCCGCATATTTATGTGGTCTTTATCACTGTCGGCTGGGTGTATCGATGAGGACATCGAATGTGATTTATTTGTTAACAAATGTCTCAAACGCTCCGACTCAGGCTGTGGAGGTGTAGGCTGTCCAAGTGACTGTCCTATATTGCTAACCGTGGTCAGTAATGTGGGGCCACCATTTGGTAAATTTCCACCACCGCTACCAACAATTTGACCCCCCTGTTGCCCGGGATTGCTGCTACCTATGCTAGTGTTGCTGTTGCCGCTGGTATTAATATGCTCCTTTTCGCTATTTTTATCACTTGTGTCGAAAGCCGGAAAACCAAAGCCAAAAGGGCCACCTGCACCACCGGGACCAGCGGATGATGGTTGGCTTGTATTTGACTGCGGTGAAGGCAGACTTGCGGCTGAATGCGACGATAGTTGATATGGTGTCGACGGTGAAGGACAGACCGCTGGACTAAAGCCATGTCCGGCCGAGGGCGGTCGGGGAGTACTCACTGGCGTACTGACAGAGGCGCGAGAATTTGGACGCGAGTCGGTCCAGCCAGTTGCGTCCATTTCAAAACTGGAATGTGCCAAGTCAAAATCGAAAGGATCGGCGCTATAGAAGATAGTTGCTTCGGGGCCAGCAGGTGATGCTGTAAACGAGTTGACGAGTGTGGAATTATTCGAAGTGGATGCCGATGTTGCTGCAACTGTATTACTTCGCTGTGGCCCATTACCAGTCCCATTTATAACCGCCGATGTCATTAGGGGCCCGCCTACGTTGGTGGTTTGCGTGGTATGTGGTGGCATTCCGCCGCCACCAACTAATCCTCCAAGCAAGTGGGTACTGGTGGCTACTCCCATCAAAGCCGAAGCCGAAGTCGAAGAACAGGACGAATTGCTGTTCACAAGAGAGTCTAACGGCAGTGAAAGTGGTGAGACAAGCGAAGGACTGGATGCCATTGCAGACAAGCCGCTAGGCGCCATAACGCCAACGCCACCGATACTGCTAATGTTTAAACTACTGTTTACAGTTCCACCAACAACATCGTTATCCGAATTAAGGATTGTTTGTAAGGACATGATATAATCACCCTCAGTTTGCGATTGATTCAGAAAAAGTCGTGAATTGGCCTTTACATGTACATAAACATCTGGTGCACCGAGTCGCAATCGGAACGGACGTGACATAACATTCGCGATGGGAGGATTAATGAGCGTTGCAGGAGTACCACCGGGTGACTGCGCAGCTGGCGTATTCATCAGATGCACCGATGTAGCAGACTCCTGTACCTCTCGCAAGTGCGTCTTGAGCGCTATTAGATCTTGTGGATGACAAATATCCTGCAAAAGACGTCCCAACCAACTGCTGAGATGCTGGCGATATGGTTCGCGAAGGGCGGTAGCATCTAAATTGAGAATCTTGCCATGAACGTCGAGTTTAAATGTCAAATGCTCGATAGGCTGCGGTTGAATTTGTTGTATAGCTGGCTCGTCTTCGGGCCTTGTGATTAAGCACAAGATAGACGAGGTTGAATCACCATCATCTAAAATAATACTTGATGGACAGGAATTATATATAACGTATAAATTAACAACCTACCCTTCATCGGTGTTGCCAGCAGCATAACTTCCTCGTACTTCTCAAATTGTATGTGCTGCCGGATAGTTTTTTGGTCCATTGCATCGTTCTGGTGGGTCATCGAAGCACTAGCTGTTGTTTGCGTAGCCGAACGCATATCTTTGACTAGCATTCGTACTTTCGCAGCTACATTACGTTTTGCCTTAGGACCCCCTGGTCCGAACGTTGCAGTCGAATGTTGGGAACTGGTACCGCTGTTTCCATCATCCTGATCCGTCCAGACGCTTCCACAATCAATGCCACCAACGCCACCGCTTGTGTTGCCGTCACCGCCACCACCATACGGCATATTATTTATTATTGGATCGAGCTTCGCATGGTCACCAGGATTTAAAAAATGGTAAAGTGGTTTACGATATAAGTCTTGCTTGTCATATCCAATAAGTTCGCGTATATTCTGCGTGCACGATTCGATAATGCCGTCCGCTGTGACTTGCAAGAGCACCCAATCAACCGAAGAAAGATAATGTTCTAGAGCCTCAAAGTAGGCAGATATTTCTGGCACCTGCCCATTTAATAGTGACGGCTCCGGCAGTGGAGGTTCCGTCGATGAGACGTCACCCTGTTGAACGGGATGTATGGAACAATTGTCGGTCGCACAACGTGGACAATGTGTTGAGGTTGCATTATTTTTGTTGTTATTGTTCTTAATGGATGAAGTGGAGTTCGTGTTGTTGTTATTGTTATTCGGTAGCGTTGCGTTGGTCACTGAAGAAGGGGTTGTTGATGTAGAAGAGGAAATATCACGACTTTGGCCTTTGTCACAAAATTCACGATACTGTAAAAAACAATGTTTCGATTTACTAGATCTATATACGTACATATATACTTATGTATATGAGCAGTCTCTAATCAAAAGATGATATTCCCACCTCTTGTTTGGTTTCATATTATCATCAAGATGAGCTGCATCTTACAAACTACTTATTACACATGAAAACATGTTCAATATGTTTTAAGAACTACACGTCGCGACAACCGAAACCAGCCGGACTGTTAACATTTTCTAAAAGTATAGCAGTAATAAAACGCTTAATGGATTTGCAAAAGTTAGCTCGTATTTTTATTTTATGGCCTACTAAAGTTTTCATACCCCGCCCTAAGTAGTTTTCAAAAAAGAGAAAAATTTTTAAAATAAATGTCTGAGCGAAATTAAAGTTCAAGATATATATTTAGTATATAGTGTAATTTTATGGTAAAAATTTTCGTAGAACAATTTAAACCCATCAGCTCCTGCCTGAAATGGTTATTTTGGCCCTTACATCGAGCGACCGCTCAAAAAGAAGGTTTGGAAGAACGCGAGAGAAATAAAATATTTCCTAGAATTATTCTAGGGGTCTTCTCAGGCAAAATTTTCATGTCCCGAACGTAGAAGTCTCTAAAAATTAAGATAAAATGTCTGTGCCAGGAAGGAGTAATAACAAAACCCGACTTAAACAAATTTTGTTTTCTATCAATAACAATGTCGATTGTTATAATTGTTATATGGATAAATATATATCTAACAATATCTTATTATATCCATAAGTACCGATAACAATATCGATTATTATGTACGAATATAATTTCTTAGGAATGGCCCCTCCACTCTAGTATTTACATGAATGTCCAATTTTTGCATTACACACCTGTAAACGCTACGGTCCTGAACTTACCAGAGCAGTGGCGGATACACTTGTCGAATAACGTTAAATTACAGGCATCTAACTTGATTCACATCGGAGTGACCAATCGAAGCTATGTGACCTACAAGCATTTAACCTGCTTGAACCCTAATTTATTTTTCACGCAAATAGAGGTTCTAGTAATTTTTATGAAGTCGGAATTAAACTGTTTTGTGATATAATTTTACTTTAAATAAGTTTCATATTCACCCCTATTCTGGTTGTCGTAAGTCGTTCGCATCGACAGTCGTTCGTTGAATTAAGTCGTAAATAAAAATGTTAACGGCAGATTTTGACACGTTTTCAATACTTCTTCATTTCGAAGGGATAATAGGAACACAAATTTGTAGTGGATTATGTCATTCGTTGCCTCATAACGCCAATGAAAGTTTCAAATTTCGACGAACGACTGTCGTTTCGCCAATCGGAATAGGGCCGATTGTGAATTTGGCGCAAGGTCCACATACAGAATCCCATGTAATAAAACAATTATACTATTTTGTAAAAAAGCACAAGATAAAAAGTTATACTCTGGGTTTATTAAATACTTATTTTTTGCTTATAATGTTTGTCAAATGAGGAATGTAATTGAGTAACTTAACAACTTATTCGGAATTTTGATTATAATAATTTAAATTGCTAACTCAATTTTGCGCTTTCCTTTTGGGAATCTATGTATTATCCGTTCAGTGTCAATATCAATATCTAAGGGCCAGTTTAAGTGGCAGTTTAAACTTAGATTACGTAAACTGAGTTTAAAATCAACAGCTGACTGACATTTGATTGGCTAATCTTAGTTTATAGCAGCCAGCTCGGGCGTTTAAACTAAGTTTAAACCAACACCGTGCACTGAAAAACTGGCCCTAAGCGTACGTGTAAAAGTGCTAGACCTATCAGTATTTTTTTCATTCATGGTACTATGAAGCGTTACTAGCTAGAAGTGTAGTCAGAATGCGGAGAAGTTTGTTTATCAACGGAAAAGCATATTCGTCGTCCCATTTACCAACAACTTCTGCTGCTGATTTTAGGTATGGCTTTTCGCTTACCTCATTTGTTCATCGTTCTGACCACATTTTATACTCTCCTTCCAAACTGAAAGCGTCTTTTTGTACCGTATTATATTCCCTAATTGTATATGTATGGAAGTAATAGTTCAACTCAAAAATGTTTATGTAATGTATATTTCGGCAATCTTTCTCGGAGATCGAGCTAACAATTATGCAATAGCGGTATAAATATTACCTTTCGATAATTATCTTCGAGGCTAGACGCACGATAATTATCCCGAAAATTTCATATAGTATAATTCCTTAGCGATACCGGTAACTAACGCGGCAAGCGCTTTTTCTACGCATTTTGCTGTTATCCCCCTACGAATGTCTGGTTACACCGTTGAATGTGAAATTTGCTACATTCACCGCGGAAATAGACAAAAAGTAGTATCAAAGAGGTTGATTCGATATGCATACATACATACATATAGTTCTTATCATAACTTTACGACACTCATATATTTGCAAGATTTCACCATTTATTTTAAAAGTTTTTAATTTTGATTATTGTTTTTTAGAGATATAGCATATTTTTAACAGAAAACATATAAATCCAAGTTTCAATCTTTGTGCAAAATTAAAAAAGAAACCAACAAACTTTGTAAAAAAGTTTAAGCTTTTTAATTCGATTTTTTAGAAACATTTTTAGTATGCAGTTTTGTAGCCCAATTTCAAGTACCATTGATTTTTGGGAATTTTTTTGGTCGAAGGTGTTGCTCATTTTCTCCAAATAACAAAAAAATTATCGAAAATGTCTTGTATGAAATAAAATCGATATTTCTTACAGTTTCACCCGTCTTCTTCAATATCCCTTTAACGATTGACCAATATTCATCAATAGGACGTAGCTCTGGGCTATTGGGTGGATTGCAAGCGCGAGGTACAAAATTGATGTTGTTTGCATTATACCACTGCAATGGGTCCTTGCCATAGTGGCAGCTTGCCAGGTCCGGCCAGAACAGTGGTCTAGTACCATGTCTGTTGATAAATGGCAAAGGACGCTTTTTGATGCACTCATCCCGATAAACTTGAGCGTTCATTGTCCCGGATGTGAAATAAGGGCTGCCCTTACGGCCACAGGAACAAATAGCTTGCCAAACCATGTATTTTTTTGGAAATTTGGACTTCGTTTTTAGCTTACAGCTTTTAGGGGCATCTTGACGACTTGCAGCAGTATAAAAATCTTGACCACCAATATATTTGAAATTTTGAAAGCAGTAGGTTTCGTCGTCCATAACAATGCATTTGTATTTTGTAATTTGGCATTCATACAATTGCCGGCTCGGTATTTAGCTGTAACATTCTGCTTTGCGTCTCGATCTGGCGCTGTTTGAGCTTTAAAACTTCTAAATGAAGCTTTCCGCTTTACCTTTTGTACGAAAGACTGCGATTTACGAACAGACTTTGCAACAGAACGCGACTAAATCTTCCGATCTCGCGAAAACGCACTGAGGACCTTCCGAGCACTGTTTTTATCTCTTTGACCATGCTCACCCCCGCTTCCAGGATTTCTGGTAACTGCCAGACCTTCCTTGTACCGATTCAAAATCCTGCAAACTGTCGAATGGTGCAATTTTAGATTTTTAGCAATTTTACGCGCACTTAAGGCCGGATTATTTATAAACTCGTGCAAAATAATTTACCTCGTTTCTAACTCGGTTGCCATTTTTAACTTAACTAGAAATCAAATTCAAATGAAATTTCTTCTACGTGAAACTAAGGTCATGGTCTACTCATGGCATTTGAGTTTTAAAATATTAAAACCTTTTTAGGTGAGTTATAAGTTTCCCAAAGTGTCGCAGTTTTGGTGTGTTCGCCCTTTATAATAGTGAAATACATTTTGGTAAGTATAAGTACATAGGTAAAATGTAATTATATTAGATCTAAAAATGGTAGAAAAAATTTCTGCCAAAGTTTGCCAAAAATCTATTGACATATTAATATTATCAAACATATAAACTACACATATACAGAAAATTATAGCCAAACTTGTTTAATTAATTCAAGAGGAACTTAATTTTCACTATGTTCTATTAAAATCGACTAACTTTTTAAATTAGGTAGCCGTCATTATGGACCCATTATTTAACCAATTTCCGGCGAATTCAATAATTTTTCAAAAATTATTCCGCCATTTTTAATTTTAAAAATTCATGGCCAGATTCGTAATCAGCGACCCCAAATACCCCCGAGTAACCAGTTTCGAGCGAATTCAATAAATTTGTCCGCCATATTGGATTTTTGAAACCTGACTGAAGATTTGTTAACAGTGGCCCCTAGTAGATACGAAGTGGTGTACAAATCCATCAACATGAATCTGTTCAAATAGTTTTGTCAAATACAGTCGGAGGTTTGCCATTGCCCGCCAAGAGGCGACGGCTATTAGAAAAAAAAACCGGGCGATAAGAATCCCCTTTATTGCCTCGCTTCCCCGGTTTGAGCTGTGGGACCACTCTCCCCATCTTCTAAATGTCTGGAATGACGAGAGTGGCCATTGACAGGCTCTGGACCTTGGCCAAATAATCTACTCCAGTAGGACCCACATTTTTCAGCATCAACGTGCATATTCCGTCGGGTCCCATGGCTTTGGCGGCTTTAGCCTTCCCGATGGCTACCTGAAATTCACCGAAAGTGAAATCAAGAGGCGCAGTCGGTGTTGGCAGTTTGTGCAGACTTCTGGTCACTCTACGTTTGGGTTTGTCCGCCGGATGATGTACTGTAAATTGTCGGCTAAAATAGATAGCGCATCGCTCTGTATCCGACGAGGTGCGGTCGCCGAAAGAGATTTCGACTATGTTTTTTCTGCTTATACTACTGAGTCAATCAATAGTGTATGAGGGAGAAACCTTGTAAAACCTTTTATTATTCAATCATGATAGCGACTGATCTGAAGACATACTACTATGTGCATTAGGGTGGTCCCAAAATGCATGTGAAAAAGTAAAGTCGGAATTGTAATGCTCTCACCCCCTAGGATTGTTCTATATCGAAAAAAGTATACCCTTATTTTTTATTTTGAAATCAAAAAATATTTAGAGGTCGCTCAAAGCGCCTAAAGTTTT